GACCTTAAAAACCACATGGAAAAGGAGCACAAGGAGATTGAGCACACCTACAGAGAGAAACTCTCTAAGATGGAGGAGAGTCATGACAACCAGAAAGTTGAACTATTAAAGAAATTTGAACAAGAAAAGGTTTGTGTGCAAGGTTAAACTTCATTTAACGTCAAGTTTACAAGATTTACTACATATGATCTGTTTCATTCTTGGATGAGAACTAGTCTAAAATAAAGGCAAACTTTGTGACAGGAATGTATCAATAACATGTCTGTCATAAGGACCTCTACAAAAGGATAAGAGATCTGCATTAAATTAAAAACAAATAACAGTTGTCCTATTTGGCAAATATTTTCATGTATTTGCAAAATTAATTTACTTCATATAACAGATAAACTACTTAGATAAATCAATTCAAATCAAATTAGAAATTACCAAGTGCCCTGAATCTGTCAAGTTTATCTTCCATGTGTTTGTTGACAGAGTGATATTTATGAGGAGTGTGAACACATAAAACAAACAGAATTGGCCGCTCGGCAACAGCAGCTCCAGAACTTCTTTGCTAAAGAAAAACAGGACATGATGGACAAACACGAGTACGAGAAGAATTCACTAAATCAGCGATTTGTTGAGGAGAAGGATGCTATGATTAAGAGGTGAGATATTGTAGAAAATGTTGATGTTGTATGTTTACCTTTAGATCTGAAAGTGACATATGAAATCTGTAAATATGTATATCTGCCATTGTCTATGATGAATAACCTCCCAAATGAAGTATATTCAAAGTCTTTCTCCATTAAGATACATTCTGTTGTCTTTATAGTAAAAGAAACACTTAATATCTATTGTATATAATCATACTATAGGTCGTCATACAAATCCAAGGATCTAACTTGCGTGATCAAAGGCTCGCGGGCACCAGTTACAGCATCCTGCTGTCCTTATATAAAATAAAACAAGTGTTTTTGTTGATAACTCACTAAAATTAATAATAAAAAATAATAAAAGGGATGTCTTAATGCTCATTTGAGAATACTTAAGAAACAGTTTTTATCAGTATTATTTTAAAGATCACCCCCAAAAATTCTTCTTGTCAGAAACCAAAAATGAAAACATGTCACATGTATGAACATTACAGTGTCATATGAATTGTGCAGGTTATCATTAGATTTTTTCAAAGGAAATTATCACTCGTGTCAGCTTGGCATGCATACGGGCAAAAAGTTGTAACAATCTGGCTGTTCCAAGTCCAAATTTGCTGTAGATATATCTATTACAAAAAATTATGATAAAAGGATGTTTTTGCAAACTATATGAATATTTATATTGGTCTCAAGCACAAATTGAACTTCATGTACTTATCCCCAGTATATATATTTAAAACAATATACCATTTCCTAATTAACAAGTTTTCTGGATAACTGTTCAGAAGTTGTTACTGGAAGGTAATATGAACATAAAATAAGGTTCTTAAATGGTATCCATTCATGTTAATACCCATCATGTTTGGATTTACATAGTTTTACTATATATTTGACAACATTGTGTTTCCTTCCTCCAGTCTACAAGTAGAGTATGCCCAGGACCTGGAGGTACAAGTGACAGCAGTACAAGAGGACTACGCCCGTGACAAGGCAGAACTTGAGGCCTACATAACAAACCCCAATGAGTCACAGCTTCAGCAGCTGGAACAGGAGAAGGCTGAGCTCGAAGAGAAGCTGTTTGAGCACCAGGAAGAGATGGAACACCGCATTGAGGAGGCAAGGACGAGGCTCAGGGAGGAATTAGAAGCTACCAAGGAGGAGGAAATATTAAAACTTAAGTCTCAATTTGAAAATGAGAGTGCAAAAATGAGAACAGGCATAACTGTGAATAGTCAAAATGATATACATAGGTTAGAAGTTAAATTTGAGGAAGAGAAAACCAAGTTAAGAGTGGATTTTGAATCTGCAAGAGAGGAAGACAAGAGTGAGTTTGATCTTAACATCTTGCAGCAAAGAGAGGAGCTAGAAGCAAGATATAATAAAGAAAGGGAAAACTTGGAGGAAAAGTATGAGGACCAGCTACGGAGGCTGAACGATGAACTACAGGCAAAGATAAAGGAATACGAAAACAGTCTCTCCGAGGTCAGTGTAACTAGGAATGGTGTCTCAAGGTCAATCAAGGTTATGTCAAATCAAGGGTTAGGGTCTTACAGTCAATGAGGGTATCTCAAGGTAAATGGTCAGCCTCAAAGTCACTGATTGCTACCTGAAGGTCAAGGGCCAAGAGTCTGAAATTATTTTGGATGTCTCAAGGACAAAATATCATGGTCAACCATGAGTTCCCAGATAAGGTCAGCTTTTAGTATTATTGCCTGTGAGTATTTTAGGAGTGTTTTAGAGAAATAAAAACATGCATTTCCTGATAGAGGTATGAACAAAAAAATCATGTTTAACATGTACATTTTATGACACTAATAGAAACATCATTTTTGTTCTTGTGTAGGGAGTGGATGCCCTGAAAGGAAAGACAAAGGAGGACTTCTTCAACATTCTGTCTAGTGAGAAGGACTTGATTGCTGTGAGACAGAAGGAGGAGGTGTCTCGGGGTATAGAGAAGGAGAAAGTGGAGCTGGAAGGGCAGTATACCAGTCGCATACAGGAGCTAGGTAATGTCAACCTTACTCCAGTCATTTCATATCAAGCGTTTAGTTTAACTAGATAGTGAAATTGAATTTAATCATTTAAAATTGGATTGTAACAACTGATGTGATTAATCATCATACAAGGTTCCTGTGCTTGAGAAAAAAGGGTGTAGAAAAAATGCCTAATGATGCTGCACTATACATCTGCATGGATAGCCGACAGTAAACAGATTTGGTCAACAAATTTGGTCATTACCAAAAATTTTATTGCTTTCATTCACCCTTGAGATTGTAAAGTCATCCTTTTAGGATTGAGGTGTGAAGAGGAAAAGTGGTGAAGGTTTGAAGCTGGTGATAAGAAATCAGATTTAGTTTGCCATATATAACTGTTTGCCATATATAACTGTCAAAACACTTTGGCTAACTTACAGAGCAAGCCTTTGCCCAGGAGAAGGAGGAGCTGCGAGACAGGTATGAAGGTCAGATTGTGGGACTCCGGAGTCAGCTTGAACGTCTCACTGTGAGGTTAGATGAGGAGAGGGAAGCCATGGAGGAGCGGTTTGAGGAGGAGAGGGAAACGCTCGAGGAGGAGCTGGCTCGTACTATTAAGGAGGAACTAGAGGTGGGTTAAGTCATAACTCAGATTGTTTGAAGATCTCACTCACGACATTGACAGAAGACCTAGAGTAAATGGTCATAATTTCACTGGTTTTTAACTCTCATAGGTCATATCAGGAGAAATTATTAGAGATAATGTTATCATAAAATCTTGCATTATTTTTGTTTGAGGAGGAGGGGGTTAATATTACATGAAAATGTTGTAAGCTCCGGCTAGTTCCTATTTTCATAGGTTTTCATATGAATAGACAGATATCCAGAGAGATCTATAGAGGTGTGTCTAACGTGTATGGGGGGATGGAGGATGGTAAATCTATTCAGTCTCAAAGGGTCGAGGCTCTTTTACACACCCTATATTGAATCCACAATGGATTAGTCTTAAGATTGAGAATAAGTCTCGGTAATATTAAGTTTCATGTTTATAAATAAAAATAAGACTTTCTGCTCATACCAATCAAGAAAAGGTTATACTACATTCATAAAAATTTAGTTAGATCAGTTCATATCCAAAATAGTAACTTACATTTGGTCATTTTCATTAAGAATAAGTTATATTTGGTATAATCTATGAATAAAATTATAATTGGTCCTATCTTTTCACCAAGTTTGATTTGAGATCTGAGTCAATGTATCTTTTAAAGACTTGTATTACTATTCTGTTAAGAAGAGTAACAAAAACAAACTAAAGTGTACAGTTAAATTTTTGTAAATATGAATTGTGAGTTTTAACATTATTTTTGGAAACAAAACAGAAACACAAAGTGCGACAGAGTACCAGGTTTGAGGTAAATTGTGTCTTGTTATATAACGTGGCCCCTATTGTATACCCACACAAAATCTAACCTAGACACACACAATGTTATATCAATGGTACTGATGTATCAAACACACAAACACACTTCACGGTTTGGATTGTTCGTGAACACAATGCACTTTCAGGAATACTTTATTGTATTTGACGGGGCAAATATATAAATATTTCATTATTCTCGTCTTGAATTTATTTGATAAACTGTTTTTAAGAAAAAAACATAATTGTGAAGAAATGTGATTAATTTTGTAATTATTTCTCTGATAATCAAGATATCGGTGGTAGGCATTGGCAAGAAATTCTTCGTGCGGACGGCACGAGTGAACCAGTCAAAGGTAGAGAGACCTGTGCTGTTGTACCAGGGCTTTTGTTTCTGCTTGTGATAGCTGGTATCAACACCACGTATTAGGTGTGGCATTGAATGCGGTTCTTTTGCTGCGAGCGAAGTTATAATACTGTTGTGTTGTAACATACAAATGAAACATTGGATAAGTTGGTTA